TTTTTTTTTGGTACAGTGACCTTCCGGTTTCCGGATCCACAGGGAAACCGACTAATCCGGAATCGAGCCGGGTAGGACCACAAGGGCGGCAAAGCTCTCCCTCAAGAGTTTTAACACTGCTGCATTCGCAGGGCTCGAACTCGAGGGGCTAGTTATTTTTTAATTGACAGTAAATTAAAATATATCCACATCAAATGAAGAATAACAAAACATGAAAATATGCTATATAGGATCTCAAATGAACTATATATATATTTAAGAAAATTTATATAAGAGAATAAATGAACTATTTTTGGTAGTCCGTTACATAAGAGGTTGAGTGTAGAAGAGATAATCAAAAAATTGTAAGAAATGTGAAAATGATGTTAGAAGAGATATAACAACAAAAATAAAAAAGCTCTTGTTATTGTCATTAAAGCAACGAGTAGTCACGGGCGGGCTTCCCTTGACTATGCAGCATATATGAGTCCCATTCCCCACAAAACAAATTTATGAGACTGGTTCAACCTATATGTGTAACCATGCTTTTTCCTAAAAATTAATAATCACTATACACCATTCATTAAATAATCTACACCAGTTAAAGGTATTGTGAGTGTGTTTATTTAAAGTCTACTAATACGAGTAATGCTACACGGTTCACATACATATGAGTTTCCCAGCTTACGCTAGACTAATTCGGAACCCTAAGTCCACATATCTCTTCAGTGACTTAGAGAGGTAAATCACGGGATGTGTGAATGACTCCAGATTCCGAACACTTTTATTACTTCTGGCATAAAGGAAGTTATCCTCACTAAAATGTAACTTCTAAGAATCTTAACGCTTTACGTTGAGGTTGTGTGCCCACCTGTGCTATTGTCCAGCACCACTCAATTATGACATGTGGGCACAATTCGAATATTTAATTAATTACTGAATATACACATGTCAAATATTTATTATTTTTCTTATTATTATAATATTAAAATCGACAATGTTGTTATATTGTCTAATAATAATCAAATAATGATCAGACAACTGTAATTTTTCAATATATATTTTTTATACTTTCACACTCAATATCATGCTTAAAAAGCAACATAATAGACTATAAGTTTTTGTAGTATATAAGTATAAATTTGTATTGACATAAATAATTATCTAATCAATAGTTAGCCTAACTCTAAAAGATGGGTGCTAATTAGGGATAGAGTTTGTATGCTTGCTTGTATTACACTCTGCATTCACGTAATTCAAATTACGCTTCGTTTTTTAAGTAAAAAAATTTTAAGTACTTGTTTGACAGTCAGTAGTTAGCGGTTAGCAGATTGCATTGCCTGTTTTGATCAACAGATATATAGTATTATCTAATTTGACAAGCGAATTTATATTAGTGGTTTGTTACAAAGTGTTTGGTAAATTAACAGTTTGATATTTAAATGTTAGCATACCAAAGGAAAAATTTCAAAACTAGTCCCACAGGTATAGGGGGTGACATTTTTGGTCCCAACAGAATTCAAAAAATATTAATAGTCCCGCAGCTTTTGAAAAATAATCAAAAGTAGGACTTTTTTAATTTTTCGGCCCGGAATGCCACGTGGCACACACGTGGCGGGACTATTTAAGATTTTATGGATTCTTTTGGGACCAAAAATGTTACCTCCCAAAACCTGTGGGACTAGTTTTGATTTTTTTCCTTGCCATTGTACTCAGCCACGTCAGATGAATGTGGCCACGTGGCATTTCGGGCCGAAAAATTGAAAAAAGTCCTACTTTTGATCATTTTTTAAAAGTTGCGGGACTATTAATATTTTCTGGATTCCGTTGGGACCAAAAATGTCACCTCCCTATACCTGTGGGACTAATTTTGAATTTTTCCCGCATACCAAATTACTTATAAGGACATTCATGTAGCTTTTCTTTTTATGTTTCGTGTATAATTGTTTCTAAAAATAAGAATAATAAATTCATTTATATATAGCAAAAAATAATGATATAATCACACAAATAACAAATTAACATCAAATAAGAATTTACGGTTTTAACTCGTGTACAAATAAGTTTACTGAAATATACGCACACACATATATGTATCATATGAGAATAGTAGATAGTGAAAGAAATAAGAATAAGTGTGGACCATAGGATAAATCATGTCAATGGTGATGATGAAGTCAATCTATGGTCAATCATTAATGGCAATTTAGTAATTATATGGTTATGTTGTGGTCAAATATTTGTATTTATCC